TATTAATCCCATATTTTTCTAGTTCCTATTATTGATGATAACGGGTTGGTTTCTGACGAAAACATCACTGTAACCGTGCATTCTCCAACCATGGCATATGTAAATGGCATGAAAGTCAATCTCATTGATTACCTTGCATATGATGGCGTGTCACATCAAATAGACGCCCTTGGCTCAAATGTATTTTCGAAAATAAAATGGACTCCCGAAAAAATCATGTTTGGCTTAAACGCAACAAAGTTCATCAACCTTATAGTAAAATATGATCTTTCTGAATACATCAATGGCACCAAAAGTGGTTCTTGGACTTTCCTAGTACCCACCAACCGTGCAATCGAACAATTTGAACGATTTTCTGGATATATCGAAAACAAAGATATGAAACACTGGCTTCTTTATCACATTATCCCAAATAAATACGAAAAGAGTGATCTGTTCAATGGTCAGCTTTTGAGATCTGAACTAAAGCCAAGCTCAATTGATCAACACAGACAAATTATTAAAGTTCGCATACCCACTACAGCCAAAACTTCCATGCACAGAGCTTTTACATACTCTAACAAAACTAATTGGCTGCTCTTTAATGATGCCTCCCTTGAATACCCTGATTCCATTCCTGGGGATAAATTTTCAAACATTTATTTACTTTCCAGTACTCTTATTCCTCCTGAATCGCTCATAAACTCCTTGGTACAAGACCTTGACTATTCAATGTTTGTGGGAATGATTAGCAGCGTACCTAACCTTTTAAAAAATATTACAAACACTCCTTCGTTGACAGTAGTGGTTCCGAGCAACAATGCCATATCTAATTTAGGGCTTGTTTATTCTTACCTTACTCGTCCTAGTGATTTTGAAGCAAAAGCTGATCTCCTAAAGCTTGTACTCAACCATATTATAAAATCCGTTGTATACAGTGATAGTATCTCCTTCTCTTGTCCTAGTTCTGATTCCAAGAGAGCCTCACAAGCGGGGACTTTTTCGAAAGACTGTACCACAGTTTTAAAAAAGGAGACTCTTGGTGGAAACCCCGTGTGGTTTTTATATAAAAATCCCGAGACTTTTGCGATTTCCTTCAAAAACCCTCAAAACTCTAAAAACGTTATTGGTAACACGGATGATAAATTGGGAACCATGGACTCCTATCAGGATGCAATTGGGTTTGTACAATCTGACATAGCATTTTTGTCCGGGGTAGTCCATAGGATCTCAAACTCATTGATGATTCCAAAGAATTTGGTTCTGTCACCCAAAAAACTATTTCGAGGAATGAATTCTTTGGTCTACGAGTTTTTGTTAAATAATTTGAATATGACATATGTTTTGGAACCGATAAAAAGTGTACCAAAAAACACTCCTACTAAAAAGGAAAAATCAAGTAGGGCATACTTGAAAAACTCTAAAAGCCAGTCTGCTAAACTCGATACAGAAGAAGAAGTTGATGGGTACTCGTTTTTGGTTCCTCCCGATCAGGTGTGGCACGAATTCCCTCCATTTGTAGAGTTTTATAACCGGGTAGTTGATGGATCAGATAAGGATGTCGATAAAAAAAATCCTGGATTTAGACCTCTTGGTCAAAGCCTTAATAATGAAATTGGAACCAATCCTTGGGAAAATGCCACTATGGAAGAGCTGAGAGAATATTTGCAAAAAATCGTCAGGCTTCATATCTTGCCTATCAAATCCACTAACTTGAATGCGATTTCGACTAGCAGTGGACAAAAATACGAGACATTGCACGAGGATGTCAAATTAGAGTACCAACAAGTTGGCAGCCGCAAGATATTCATGGTAATAGATCCATTTTCTTCTATTCCAAATCCGTCATACCCTATCCCACCAATTGGAATCCCACCTGAAAAAGGGGGATACCCACGCCAAACCACAAACTTTGCTGTAATTAGTAGGCAAGGTGGGATATCACAAAACTACTATAAAAAATCAAATGACCACTCCGGAAAGATACAGTCACCACTTATTGTTTATGAAATCGATTCTGTACTACAACTTCCTTTAAGGCCACCAGACGACGGCCAAGGATTCTTTTCAGGGCTGCTTTGGAAAACAGCACTGGTTTTGGCAGTGTGGGGTCTAGTCGCGGGACTTTCTGGAATGGTGTGTTTATGGGTACATTCTTTGAAAACGCTGAACAGTTACGAACAGATTTAGAAAACCTTGTTTCTGAGTCTGTG